ACTCACACAGGCAGTCTCACACAGGCAGTCACACACTCACACAGACAGTCACACACTCACACACAGACAGTCACACACTCACACACAGACAGTCACTCACACACAGTCACTCACACACAGACAGTCACACACAGACAGTCTCACACAGGCAGTCACACTCTCACACAGGCAGTCACACTCTCTCACAGGCAGTCACACACAGACAGTCACACACTCACACAGACAGTCACACACTCACACAGGCAGTCACACACTCACACAGAGACAGTCACACACAGACAGTCACACACTCACACAGACAGTCACACACTCACACAGAGACAGTCACACACACGCAGAGACAGTCACACACAGACACACTGACCTCCTTCTTCCCTCCTGCTTGGAGCTCCTGGAGGCTGGTTGTTGGGGAAGCAGGGACTCCTTCCTGCTTCCCATGCTGCAGTCAGCCAGGCCCCCGCTGCACAGTAAGCCCCGCCGCCGCCGCACGCTAAGCCCCGCCCCGCTGGCCCCGCCCCACAGTCAGTCACACACTCACACAGACAGTCACACACTCACAGGCAGTCACACACAGACAGTCACACACTCACACAGACAGTCACACACTCACACAGGCAGTCACACACAGACTGTCACACACTCACACAGACTATCACACACACAGACTGTCACACACACAGACTGTCACACACAGACAGTCACACACTCACACAGACAGTCACACACTCACACAGGCAGTCTCACACAGACAGTCACACACTCACACAGACAGTCACACACTCACAGGCAGTCACACACAGACAGTCACACACTCACAGGCAGTCACACACAGACAGTCACACACACAGACAGACTGTCACACAGTCACACACAGACAGTCACACACACAGAGACAGTCACACACAGGCAGTCACACACTCACAGGCAGTCACACACAGACAGTCACACACTCACTCTCACAGGCAGTCACACACACCTCACACAGAGACAGTCACACACAGACAGTCACACACTCACACAGACAGTCACACACTCACAGGCAGTCACACACAGACAGTCACACACTCAATGGCAGTCACACACAGACAGTCACACACACAGACAGACTGTCACACAGGCACACAGTCACACACAGACAGTCACACACAGACAGTCACACACTAACACAGGCAGTCACACACAGACAGTCACACAGGCAGTCACACACTCACAGGCAGTCACACACAGACAGTCACACACTCACAGGCAGTCACACACTCACACAGAGACAGTCACACACTCACACAGACACACTGACCTCTTTCTTACCTCCTGCTTGGAGCTCCTGGAGCAGGGCCGGACTGGCCCACCGGGATACCGGGAAATTTCCCGGTGGGCCGTCAGCACCTGGGCCCGGGCAGACACCTGGGTCTGCTGTCGGCTGCTGGGGAGATCTTCTGGCGGCCGCTGGGGGGAGCTGCGCTGTCTGTGCTCCCCAGCGTCATATTCCGGCACTGGTCTCATTCAGCAGCGCACGAGGGCGGGAGAGCACAGACAGCGCAGCTCCCCCCAGCTCCCCCCAGCGGCCGCCAGGACAAGTCCCCCAGCGGCCGCCAGAAGACCTCCCCAGTGGCCGACAGCAGACCTCCCCCTGGTGTCAGGTACTAGTAATGTGTCTGTCTGTGTTATGGTGTCTGTCTGTATGGTGTGTGTGTGTGTATCTGTCTGTATGTATGTTGTGTGTGTCTGTCTGTCCGTGTCATGGTGTCTGTCTGTATGGTGTGTGTCTGTCCGTCATGGGGTGTGTGTGTGTCTGTCTGTCATGGGGTGTGTGTGTGTCTGTCTGTCTGTCATGGGGTGTGTGTGTGTCTGTCTGTCATGTCATGGGGTGTGTGTGTGTATGTGTCTGTCTGTCATGGGGTGTGTGTGTGTCTGTCTGTCATGGGGTGTGTGTATGTGTCTGTCTGTCATGGTGTGTGTGTGTCTGTCCGTCATGGGGTGTGTGTGTGTGTGTGTGTGTCTGTCTGTCCGTCATGGGGTGTGTGTGTCTGTCTGTCATGGGGTGTGTATCTGTCATGGTATATGTGTGTTTCTGTGTCTGTCATGGTGTAAATGTGTGTTTAAAATAGTGTTTTTGCTCACCTTTTTTTTTCCCCACGCAGCGTGCTGGTCTCCCCTCGACTGGCCCTGCCTCTATAGCTGAGATCATCAAGCTTGATGATCTCAGCCAATCCAATGCTTTGCCATAGGATTGGCTGCAAAATGCCACTCCAATCAGCATCTCCTCATAGAGATGCATTGAATCAATGTATCTCTATGGGGAACGTTCAGCACCTACAGAGTGTGGAGGCCCTGAATGTAGGTGCACTAACACAGGAAGCACCTCTAGTGACCGTCTGAGTGACTGTCACTAGCAGTGTCACTTTGAAGCAATGTAAACACTGCCTTTTCTCTGAAAAGTCAGTGTTTACGTTGAAAAGCCTGTAGGGACATGCTATAGACACCAGTACCACCACATTAAGCTGTGTGTGTGCGTCTGCTAGTGAGTGAGCTTGCTTGCATGCGTGTGCCTGCTAGTGAGTGAGCTTGTGTTTTTATGTCAATGAGCTGATGTATATCAGTAAGATTGTTTGTCTATGAGGCTGTGTATCAATGAGCTTGTGTGTGTCATTGAGATGTCAGTGAAATTGCCTGTGTCTGCATGTGAGTATGCTTACTGTATAATTAAACATTTTACCCTGAAAGGACCAATATTTTATATTAGAAAAAGCAATATATATATATATATATATATCTCAATCATCTGTCCTGGCAAGACATAGCCTTACATATTACACGCGACAATATATGGCGCAGTGACTTATGGGGCTGGCACAAATTTTTTTTCCAGGGCTGCTTTGTATCCCCAGTCTGGCCCTGTCCTGGAGGCTGGTTGTTGGGGAAGCAGGGACTCCTTCCTGCTTCCCATGCTGCAGTCAGCCAGGCCCCCGCCGCACAGTAAGCCCCGCCGCACGCTAAGCCCCGCCCCGCTAGCCCCGCCCCACATAAGCTTCGCCCCCGCCGGCCGCCTGGCTCCCCCTGCTCCCATGGGGCACCTTGTACATGGCCGGCCGGGATCACAGGAGCTGTCAGCCCAATGATTAGCGCTGTCAGACCGGACCCAGGTGCTGCGGCCCACCGGGAAATTTCCCGGTATCCCGGTGGGCCAGTCCGGCCCTGCTGACAAACTACTAATAAAACAGACAAAAGTCTCTAATTGCTAATTTTAAGCTTAAACGGACACTCCACTGCCCAAATACAAAATAAATAAAAATCACTGTTTGGTAGATATACCCCAAATGAAAACATGCATGCATTTAATTATGCATTTTTTTTCATTGGAGTTATATCTAAAAACAGCTTGCAAAAACTGCAGAACTGCCTTTGCAAGCCCTACCCTTCTAACCCAGCCCGGTCTTTCTGTGGCTGTCCAAACACAGACTTCCCAATGCAGCTCAATGAGAAGAATTTGCAAGGCAGATGCTCTGAGCAATTGCTGCCACTTGACCAAATAAAACCAAACAGGATGTTACAGGACCTGCTGTCTGGTGTGAAACCAGTATAATATATAAAAGTGTCAATATCTATTGAAATCTGCAAAAAAAAGAGGACAAAAAAGTGCTTTAGGGATCTGGAGTGTCCCTTTAAAGAAATAAATGACCAGGTCTATAATTTGGCCATGTTACTGTAAACGTGCATCAGTACACAGTGGATCTAGCTGAACAAAAAAAATATGTTTTTTCATTTTTGTTTTCTGCAGTTGCACGTATTGGGCTTACACAATTTTAAGTAAACCTGTTTTGGAAAAATGAACGTACCTGAAATCACACCCACATACTTTGAATAAACCATATATCACAAAGAAACAAACATGAAACTTTACTCACTTTTCCTCCATTCCAGCACTGCTTTGTGGTTATTACTCTTTGTGTAACACCTACCACCTGACCGTCCTCTACTCTACCTTCGCTCCTCCCATAGTCTTCTTTGCCCCAAGCAGGGCAAATCTCATCAGGGACGCTGGCAAATTGGCTTCCTTGCCAACATGCAAGCGTCGGAACGGAGTAACGTAACTTCAAGTTGTTCTTATTCTCCTAGCCTGAACTAGAAGTGTCAGCAAGGGAGTTTCCTAGGAAACCACAGCACGTGTGCTATGGTTGCTTTGGGTGGAGAACAGTGGGACCTCTTGTGGGAGGTCTTTTCTACTCTCCCTTGTCAGTAAATGCCTTGGGATACCAAAGCATTGACTGAGAGCTGGGAGAAAAAAACATTTTTAAAGAGGTTTTTCTCCTAATCTGTACATTTGCTAGCAAAACTGCAGTTACAATGTATGGATAGAATTATATGCTCAATCTAATGAGCTTTAGTTGTTTGGGGAATGACAGGTGCTCTTTAATTCACAGCAACAATAAAATTATGTTTGTAGCTACAATAACCTGAACTTGATAAAGTGTTGTAAAAAATGAAATGCATAGAGTATGAAGATCTGTCCTGTGGGAGGGAGCTTTTCACTGTATGTCCAATGTAATTTCCATTAGATGATTATCGCTTAATAAATATTTTTTGAAGTAATGGGCAGTGCACACTATTGTTTCTTTGTAGTTACGGATGCCGCCTTACCTGGAACTAAATACCAGCTGTGCTAATTTGCATAATTCATTATATATGTATGACATCACAGGACTTCATAACCACACAAATCCTTTTGCCATCCTCCTAAACTGTGTCCACCTCCTCCAAGACATGCTTATCCCAAACAATAGCGGTATTAGACATGTCGTGCAAGACCCTTTGCTACAGTTGTAGATTATGCTAAAGCAGTGTACCTATAATCTTAATTTTATTAAGTACAGGAGTCGAGTATTTTGCATAATCTCTCTTTACTAAAACTCCAACAGCACAGATTTAACAATAAAGTTTAGTGAAAAAAACATTGCAACAGGGTATAAAAGGCCTCTCCCCTGTATCACGTCCTCTTTCTTTTATGCAATATAACCATAAAAACATCCTGTAAATACAATAAACAATGATAAAAATGAAGATTCAGACTGTAAACGATCCGAATCACGAATGAATGATTGTCGTAGAGTGTGAAGACGATCCCATGTATTGATCCATGAAGAAGAATCAAACTGAAAAGAAACAAAAGACGTGAAAGGGACTTGGAAATGAACTGTTCGTCATTTTTATTATTGCTATTTATGTAGCCCCAGCTTATTCCGCAGCTCTTCACAAAAAGAGGGGAATTTACCAAATGAGACAATAAAATTTTTGTAACAGGAATAATAGGTAGTTGAAGATAAATTCATTAATATATATAGTCAAATTGTATGTAATAAGTAATCATAACGGATAATAATCGCAATCTCAAAATGTGTGATATAAAATAAACCACATAATAATGAAATAAACACCCTCCCCCCCCCCGAATTCAAATCTTTATTGAAGTGCAAACCAATGAATCATATAAACAGGGAGGGGGAAAAAGGGTGGGAAAATACTCACCTCCTGTCCTTAATAAAATTAAGATTATAGGTACACTGCGTTAGCATAATCTACAATTTTATAACATGACAGGAGGCTTCGTATTTTGCATTTTTAAAGCTGTGGATGAAGAGCAAAAAAAGCATGAGAAACCTGACGGAATGAACAAATACGGAATGTACTATCTCTAGTCCAGTCCGCGGATCGCAATATGTCGGTAGATGAAACACCTGCCGGAAAGACCTTTGATGTGGTTGCGCCCTGAACTCAGTGAGCGCCAAAACAAGAGTCTACACCTGCTAGGGATATCCGCCAGCAAATGGAAAATAAGAGGTCCCGACTAGGGTGTCCATAGAGGAGCGGTACGCTCCACCTATCCTAGTAAAGTGTCCACCATGCAGAAGAAGTGGTAAACAGTCCGAAAAACGGGATATAAGACCGAGGAAGTTCCATCTTAGTCTGACGCGAGATAGAAAATACATTCCTTCCAAAATGAAGGAAAAAACGTCTTCGCCGAACGCTCGAACGTCAGTACTCCGTCGAAAGAAAAGGACACAAAAGTGTAAGTATCACCAAGAGTTGAAGCAAAGACAATTTCGTATTGTCTGGCCATACACAACGAAAATTTTAAACTAGATCCATGTCCCACATACGCGAGTATTTGGGAGCGGGTGGTCTAGACAGACGAATCGACCTAGAAGGTGACAAACCAGAGGGTTCTGACCTATAAGAGTGTTAGGGGCATGAGCCGCCAAGATAGCAAATGTGCAACATTAATAGGTTGATACGACTTTCCCGACGCAAAGGGGATGGGATAAGAAATTTTGCATGGCAGTAACAGGTGCCATAAAGGGATCGAGGTCCTTCTCCATACCTCAATTACTCCATCCTGTCCATGTGGAGTCGTGGCTCCCTCTCTTGCCTGGGGCCCCAGTTCACTAGGTCCAAGTGTCTTTGGAGGACCAGTGGATGCAATTCCCCTTGGGTGTTCGTCAATAGACGCGATAAGGATTATAGCAGGAGGGGTGATCTTGAGATAGTTCCAGTAAATCCAGACATCATGCTTGACTCTGTCATCAGGGAGTGATGAAAAACAGAGTGAGCTTGCAGATCCGCAAGTGATGAAGGACTCTCACCATCTGGAGGACAGAGGAAGAGCATCGGCTCCTTGGAACGTCCAATTCTGAAGTAAAGCATCCACTGCCTCATACTCCAGATCCGGAAGCCAGTTGAAATAGCTCTGTAATTGCCTGTTGGACTGGGATGCAAATTGTTCAACTGGAGCAGACCCCACAGAGTCCCCAGTGTGTGGAATATTGAGACGTTCAGTCTCCATCCGTTGACGTCCCTCCAGAGTTGAGAAACCCAGTCTGCCCATAGGTTGTCAAATCCTGGTAAGCATACTGCACGTAGAGTGGTGTTGCAAGGCAGGCCGAATTGGTACATGTCCGTTGTCGCCTCTGTGAGATCCCGGGATCATGCTCTGCCCAAGCGGTTTATGTATCGACCCAGTGATATGTAGCCATTCCATGCCTGCATGTGAAGTAATCACCAATGGAGTTTGGCCCTTCCTTCGGGCGTTACTGATATCTAATGGCCGCAAGCATGACCCGTCCGCAGATAATGGGCTTACAGTCAGTGCATAGTTTTGTAGTGTAGTAAACCTGGAAAATTACCAGGATGGATGAAGACAGGAGTCCCACCACACAAGCCCAGATTCGGTAAGGGATGGAGTCCTTGCGCACGTCTGATGGAGTACGTC